AGAGGCCAGCAGATCTCTGAGTTCGAGGCCAGCCTGTAGAGTGAGTTCCAGGATATCCAAGGCAACACAGAGAAACCCTGTCTCAGAAAACCAAAAAACAAAAACAAAAAGTAGAAAAACTCCCCAATACCTTTCAAGGTTATTAGAGGAAGAAATTTTTAAAAATGGTTCATGCTTGTTCCTATAGGTGGAGCCAAACACTACCTATAGATACGTGCGTGTGAGCCTCACAGGATTTTAATACCTCTGTTGGTGTAGAACACATTTTCTCTCTCAGTTCCTCTATTGACAGAGACCTGGGCTAATTCCATAATGGAGCCACAGTGACTAATGCTGTGACGCACGCAGGTCTCTCTGTGATGTGTCAATCAGACTTCTTGTCACTAATGATAGGCATGGGGATGGGAGGGCAGCAGGTAAGTCATGAATTAGAAGAATAATGTACATATTTATGAACTATAAAATATAAATATAAGCCATTCTATGTATACCCTTGCTAGTGAATAGTGCTGCTCAGACACAGGTGTGGGCCACATTTAGTGAATAGTGCTGCTCAGACACAGGTGTGGGCCACATTTAGTGAATAGTACTGTTCAGACACAGGTGTGGGCCACATTTAGTGAATAGTGCTGCTCAGACACAGGTGTGGGCCACATTTAGTGAATAGTGCTGCTCAGACACAGGTGTGGGCCACAGTAAAGAGTGAGGGTGTTGATAGTGAGTCAGTTCAATAATGAACACCTCTGAGGAACCAATACCACAAATTAAACTCCAGATAAGACTTTACAGATGACAGAGATTTTAGATGTATCTTATCATTCTTAATCTCAATCAAAGCCAGATAATAAAATACAGAATAATTTAATTGGAGCACTGATAAAGATTAATAAGCACATGAAACTTTTCATACCTGAAAGAAATAGAGCTCTTCATGGAATTCCTGATTTCCCCTTCCACAAGCTCCCTTTCTATTCCATTCAGTTGGTTAAATGGACTCTAGAGCCCTTCGATACACTTGCCAATAGCCCATAGGTTGTTAAAGGAAGGAAAAGATGTCCAGAGAGAGGCCAAGGAAGACATATCAGAGTAGGAGAGGCAGAATCTGCTTTTCAGACAGACAGACAGACAGACAGAAGCGCATGAGACACATATGTGCGCGCGCGCGCGCACACACACACACACACACACACACACACACACACACACACACACACATTAAGGAGCCAACAGTAAAACACTTTTACTAGTACCAATGGAGGCAGGGTATCAAGAGCAGTAGTAAGCTGGGACCAGCCAAGGAACACTGTCCAGAAAATATGGAGGGTAGGGTAGTGTTGAGTTGTGTTGAAGAACATCCTCAAAGCCACTAGGAAGAGTTCTGTGACCCAGAGCCTCCGAGAGAATTAGACCAAAGGTTGTGGAAGCTGTTTCATCAAGCTCTCTAGCAAATAATTATATCAGGAAAGAACAAAGGAGAGCAGGGTGCTGGGGAAGGAGAAAGGGATCAGATTCCCATTACCTGACTTCAGAGATAACTTCCAGAAAGCAGGTCTCAAGACACAGGGTCAAAACATAGATAAGAAACCTCTTTCTACAGCTTGTATCCTAAAGAGTCTATATTTGGGCCAATCCTGAAGCTGATGAGGTTAAGAAATATTTATGTTAGAAGATTTGCATGTCAAACACTGTTTTCCTCTTCTTGGTTTCAGGGCAGCCAGACAGAAGAAATTGGGTGTAATTAAATATAAAAAGTATCAATTAGCACTGATTCTCCCATCCGCAGAGAGAAATGACCAATTGGGAACGGGTGATCCAATCCCCTCCCCCAGGCTTCCAGAGGAATCAGAAACCCAGACTCCAGCCCACCTAATTTCACAAGCAGAATTCCGAGTAAATGTTTCTCAGACAGACACTTGGCAGACCATTACAGAGTCTAACACAATGATGATCGACGTCACAAATTTGAAAGTTTTGAATGGTGTGAAGTAGTCAGTCCTGAGTGGCACTTCACTACTACCTGACGCTATATATGTAAGACCTTTGTACCAGAAAGAAAGATGCATGGTCACAGGGCGGAACAAACACACTTAGTCCCAATTCTACACCCATCAGTTTTTACCAATACATTCATTCTTCTTTTCCCAATGAGCTCACGTCCTAGTGTGGAAAGGGATATTCTGAGATGCTAGCTGTCTTCAGTCATCTTCAGCAGGTCCCGCTGACACCCCTGTCACCCCATCCATCCTGTTTCTTTCTGTGTCTGTTCATCAAGGGTCACTTTCTGCATCTACAGCATCAGAGCTCTGGGGTGGTTCTCCCAGAACAAAGGTCTGTGGAATTTTTAGTTGGATTCAGTTCCCTTCCACTTTTCTCTAGTCCTAGTACCCGTCCATCTCCAACAGATGCGCATATGCAGCCTTTGAGAATATTCTAAGAGTAAGGTAAATATTACTCTCCCTCCCCTTCTTTGTGTATGTGTGTGTGTGTGTGTGTGTGTGTGTGTGTGTGTGTGTGTGTGTACCTTTGTGTCTGTGTGTGTAGGTCTGTGTGTGTATCTGTGTATATATCTGTATGTCTGTGTGTCTGTGTATGTCTGTATCTGTGTGTGCCTGTGTGTCTGTGTATGTCTGTGTCTATGTATGTATCTGTGTGTGTCTGTGTATCTGTGTGTGCCTGTATATCTGAGTATGTCTGGGTCTGTATGTGTATCTGTGTGTATCTGTGTATGTCTGTGTATGTCTGATTGTTTCTGTGTGTGTGTCTGTTCATGTGTTTTATGTAGTTTCACATATAAGAATCCATGATGAGAGCACTTTGCGTGGATTCTCCTGTATGACGTAGCCTCTGCTGTTAAATTCCCATCTTAGAGATGAGAAAAGATAAGTCTAAGAACCAAAGTATTTCTATTCTGAAAGCTGCAGTTGGCTCTGGGGCCCACACTCTACTCCTGAAACTTGATCATTTCCATTAACCTGCAATTCAATTTTGCTTATTTTTATTCTACCTACTCCAATCTCCCTAGTGAACTTTGCATTTCAATTAATATTCCTTCCAGCCCTGGGATTTCTACTTCATTTTATGTCTCATATATCTTTCTTGATACCTATTTTCTTCGGTCATTGTTTTCTCTGTTTTCTGTTTCCTCTCAGCTCTTTGAGCATCTTTTAGACAGTGACTTTAAAGCCTTTGTCTAGTACATCTGCCATTGGGTCTTGGGGGTGGTGTTTTCTGGGGTTTGTTCTTGTTTCTTTTTTTTGTCTTTGGATGGTTTTTCACTTGTTTGACAGTCCATACTTTTCTATATTTGAATTAAATAACATGGCACCTTGGAAATCAGGTCCTTCTTCTCTCCCACAGTGTGATTGTCCTTTTGTTTTTATTTTTGATTGTTCTAGACTCTCTCTGTATTAAAGACCAACTAAAATGAAAACATGAGATCTTCTCGGGCCTTTTCGGATCTTTTATCCTTTCCCTGGGTAAGTGTGTAATTTTTTTAATTTCTTCTATGTATGTAGCTTTTAAAGTGAAGGGGGAAAGTGGATGATGTTCCTTAAAATCACCTGGAAGTCATTCCAGTGAGGGATTGGAGACTCGCAACAATGTGGGTAAGTACACTGGGTTCCCACACTGATTCCCAGAAGATGCCTTGGAGCTGTTGCAGGAACACAGCAAACTGCCTATCAGAGGCCACTGTGCCAAGGGCTGAAATTGAGCAGAATTAACCACAGTTTGCCAGATAAGCCTTCCACTGGATGTTGCAAGCCTTAGAAATCAGATATTAGAGCTAAAAACCAGTTGCATCAGACAAATTCTGCCAGAGAACTGCAGTGTGGGTAGAAAGAAAACCAGTGTTCTCTGGTCTGCCACCATCCCATCTGTCAAGTTAGCGCTTTGTGTTAATATTGGTAAGTTTTCCCTATATGAAAACTTTTTAAAAGTCTTTGCCTTCAAAATATAGACCCTATATAGGACAAGAAATGAACTGAAAGATTAACTTTTTTTTTTTTTTTTTTTACAAAATTTCCCGAGTTCAAGTCACAATATTAAAAAGATAATAAACAAGACAGTTCAACAAAATTTTAGTTTGATACTTGGGTTTCTGAAAAATGGTTAGGCACAATAAATACAAAGCATTTTATAAAAAGGGGGGAGGTAGAAATTCCTGTTCAGGCTTTAGAAATCGAAATTTTTATCAGGGAGAAAACAGATATATAACGAGGGGGTCACTGTTACCGAAAGGTCTCTGGGATCTGTGTGCTGAGAAGACTTACCATAACAATCACCAAAGTTAGAGTGGCAAGTGCAATCAAAAAGGTTCAAAATAAAACCAAGAGGTTTGCTAGGATGCTAACGCCTTGCCCCATGCTAACTAAAATCATTGGGCATCCAGATGAGTCAAAAGGTGCAGAGGCTGATGTTAGGGAGGATCTTTCAGTCATTGCTCGGCTTTACCCAGTGAGATCACCCAGCCTATTCTGGAGAACTGAGTTAAAATACTTTAGGTATTGAAGTGCCTGGTCAAATGGTAACTTGGCTGCTCCCAGGGTATTTTCTCCTAACCCCACTGTCAACTGATTGAAAGGACTGAAGATTCAAAAGTCTAATATGCCGCCACCCCAGGGTGTGTAAGTTGCTATGAACAAAGAACATGCCAGTTCATCTTTGCCTAGCACCAGGCACAGCTGGAGGGAAAGAAAAGGAAACCCATTTTAAAGCATTTTAAATCTACTCTCTATTCCAGACTGGGAAGCTGCTCGGTATAGGATCTGAAATATGCTTACTTTAACCCATCTTTGTTGACACAGCCACAAACTTCAGCAAATACTGAAGCCAGACTCAACCAGAGTTCTCATAAACTTTCATATGTGAGCAAAATCCCCCCTTCATTTTTGCCTAACGTTCATCTGCTGTAATTTTTGCCAAGTTCTAAAAAGGAAATCTTCAAGCATTTTCTATTCTATATTTTACACTTAAAAAAAAGCCAATTGGACAGCACTTACCCATTTCAAGCGCTAGTACATGTTGCCTCTTCCTTCTCTCAAAAGCCTTTTTCCACAGTCATCATTTGTATTATATTTCACAAGCAGGCCTCCTAACCCACGGGACCTTCTCTGGCTACAAAAGTATTCAGAATTATAGGAGTTGCACCTGCAGAAGAAAGAGAAGCCAAAGTCTCAGGTTGTGGGACAAGGAAGATCTGGTTTTACAAAGAGCCTTAGGTGTGTGCATGCTTGGCTGTCCTTACACCAAGAGTTCATGCTCTCTGAGCTTTGTCATTCGATCAAGTCTCCAGGCTGGTGTCATGAATACTGCTAGGATTCTGAGCCTTTTATTTCTCATACTGAAATCCAATTTCTGGAAAATTCTCTGCACATCAGCATCCTTGTCAATCAATCTGGGCAATACCTTTCTCCACTAGAAAGCTTAGTCGTTGGTCCCTCCCTTTTTAGATCCAGCCTCGATAATCATGTGTTCAATACCCTGCACAGCTTGGCCTCGGTGAGCACATTCCTGAGACCTGTTCCCTCTCCACTCTCTTCTCCCACTAGGGATACAGCCCTGACTGCTTACCCTCAAATATTCCCTCCTGTACTATATCAATTCTAATTCTCTCTCTCTCTCTCTCTCTCTCTCTCTCTCTCTCTCTCTCTCTCTCTCTGTGTGTGTGTGTGTGTGTGTGTGTGTGTGTGTGTGTGTTCATGTGTATATATGTGTGTATGCATGTGGAAACTTGAAGTCTACCCCACTCACAATGAGCTTCTCTTTCTGGATCAATTTCTTTCCACCTGTACAGCTCATATCTAGTGCCTGTAGTACCCAATCCATCAAGACTTCTCTGTGTCCTCCAGTATTAACTTCTCCTTCTTCCTGTCTACACCTTCCTCTTGGAATGTTTCACATCTTTGCAGTGTTAGAGCCATTACATACGTTGGCACCTTCTCTGTCAACTGAGAAATCTCAGTTGACTCATATTTCTGCTCCCCATAATCTCTACTCCCAGTCTCTGCTTTCAAAAGATGGTCATTATGCATTTCTTGGGTTAATAATAAAGCATATAAATTCACTGTTATGCCGATCTCTCTTTGTATAAAAATGAGCATATAAAGGGGGGGACATTTTTGCTAGCCAGCTTGAGATCATCTGAGGACAAGAAGAAAGCAAATATTTACTGAGAAACTAACAAGGTCACAGAGAAGTATCAATAAGGAAACAGGTGCACTGAAATCTTCCAGCTTCCTGACTAAGATCATTAAACTTTTCTATTCCAGATTTCACCACAGCATTTTATTATGGATTAATATGGAATCAAGCTTGTTATTGAAACCTCTGTGGCAAACAGTGTGTGTGTGTGTGTGTGTGTGTGTTTCAGCTAGCCTTCCAGGTGGTGATGGTCCATCTTCATCATCAATGTAACTGGGTTTAGAATCATCTAGGAGACACATCTTTTGGTGTGTTTGTGAGGACATTTCCAGAGGGGTTTAATTGAGGTGGAAAGAATCATACTGAACATGGGTGGCACCATCCCCCAGGCTGGAATCCTGGAAAGTGTAAAACAGAACATCAATGTTCATCTCTCTCATTCCTGACAGTAGGCATGTGACCATCTGTACATGTTGCTATGGCCATCCTTTCTCTGCCATGACAGATTGTATCTTCAGACTGTGAGACCAGAAGAACCCTTCCTTCCTTCCTCCCTTCCTACTTTCCTTCCTTCTTTTTCCTTCTTTCCTTCCTTCCTTCTTTCCTTCCTTCTTTTCTTCCTTCCTTCTTCCCTCCCTTCCTACTTTCCTTCCTTCCTTCTTCCCTTCCTTTTTCCTTCTTTCCTTCCTTCCTTCTTCCCTTCCTTTTCCTTCTTTCCTTCTTCCCTTCCTTTTCCTTCCTTCCTTCTTCCCTTCCTTTTCCTTTCTTCCTTCCTTCCTTCCTTCTTTTCTTCCTTCCTTTCTTAAGTGCTGTTGTGAGAGTTTTGTCACAGCAGTGAATCAGTAACTCATACACACTCATGTTCTAGTGACTCCATTCTTAGCATGGTTCCTCTGCTCAGCTCACTCAGAATTCCATAAGGATCACTCTCTTCCTGTAACAGTTGAGACACTGTCAGCCCCTCTGGACTCTGGATAACTTGAACAACTTCTGTTTCCCTCTCCCTCTTCTGTCAACCTCTCCCTGGTACTTATTATTACAACCATTAATGGGAAAGGAAGAAGCCTAAAAACTTAGATGAAATGTCAACCTAGAAGTCAGATAAAAAATAAGTTTACTTTCATGAGACTCTTGCAAGATTACCCACTCCTACATAATAACAATGGTTGCTAGGAATATTCTCTGCCTTGTTAGAAAACAAACCCTTTTCATCATCACTATGACTTCTCAAGTTTTACAAATCTGTTTCCTTCCACCTGTGTAGTCAAGTACCCAAGAAAGGAGTCTGATTGGAGAAGTTGCATTTAAAGTATGGAGGACCGCGGCACTCTCAAGATCCCAGTCCAGATCTCACAGTCCACAAGGCCTTCTGTAATCTGGCCCTCCATCCCCTCACATCCTTGAGCATCTGGCACATGGAAAAGCTCTCCCACCTCTCAACACACTGGACATCTTCTCTGCTTTCACATTTCTCAGATCTGATGCTCTTTCCCCTTCTCTGCTAAATAAAGCCATTCAGCATTTTACTTCAGCAGATTCCCCTGAGTCATGACCACAAGAGTCATTTGTCCCACATTCGACTCTAGATGGACTGAGGTACCACGCTGCACCTCTGGAACAAGCAGCACCCATGAGGATGAAGATTTATCCATCTCTTCTCTCTTGAAATTAGCAGGGTACCTGACACATCCTTGTTAGACTCAAGTCTGTCCTCCTGCCTCTGTGGTACAGGATTTCCATCTTGAAGTGTCTATTCCTGCCACAGATAAGAATTCCCAAAGCTTGCCTTCATGGAGGTGGGGCCATTGAGGTAGCATTACCTACAATGCATGTGCAGAAATACTGTTTGCACTTAGAGCCCAGTTGCTTAGGGAATGGCTGGTTTCTCATCCTCTCCTTCCTTTTGCACCCACTGGAAGCAGAGGATTCTGGGGCCTGACCACAGAATGAGAAGAGCCTGAGTCCTTGAACCACTGTATGGAAGAAGGCATCCCACCACCTGACTGTTGCCTAGGCAACAAGAAAACTCGTGTTGCGTTAAGTCTCTAAAACCTGGGCCCTTTTGTTACAGAAGCTTGATCACAAATAAGACATATTATCAACACACATGTTATTTAATTCTGTGGGGTAAACATGCTCATTCTTGTCCTTCTAAGTTCTGGTCATAATGTATGGGTCATACAGGAGGGAAAAAAGAGGCTAGGAAGGAAAGCTGAACAGAGAGGAAGGAAAGAGGACACATGTGATGCAGAATTACAGACAGACGACACCTCAGATATAATCTGCTCAAGTCCTCACTGTCAGCCAAGCAGACTGTAACCAGTCACCCATTTTGTCACTGTCCATCGCACCCCATGCAGACATTCTTGGAGATATAGCAGACATTCAACAAATATAGGCTAATTTTTGGCAGATGAAATTATGAATATGATGCCTTTGAATCCCCATAAAATAATACTAAAAAGTAAAATCTCCCTAAACCTAGAGATTATGATATTTTGATAAGTATAAAATAATCTCTTTCTAGAAAGCAAATTACATAAGTAAGACACAGGACCACACAACGTATGCCAGAATGCTTAGAAAGTGCCAGTGTCCATGGAATCTCTGTTACCTGCAAACTTTCTCTTAAAATAAGAGTGCAACAAATAAACAGAAACCATTACTTGTAATTAAAGATCTTAAATTTAATGTATGGCTCTATATCAGATAAAAGGTGGCATTTTCTCCACTTATTATCTTAATCTCCAAAACTAGCCACTAATTCCAGCAAGAACATTTAGAAAAATCTTCAGAATACATTTTTAAAGAGGAAGGGAAGGAAGGATAGAGAAATTTCTTTTTAAAAAATTCAACTTCCCTGTCAGGTAAAGGGAGAAGAGACCACATGTGGTGAAGGGGCCAATTTAAGCCACATCCTATAGTCCGATGGTCCAATTATCACAGCATATATAAATAATGCTAAATTTCCCCGGGTCCTGCTGATCCTACAGCAGCTCAGTGCTTCTGTTTATCTCTAAGCCATTACCCAGTTGTACAGTAAATCTGCATTTCCAAGATGGTCTAAAATAGCAACCCATGCCGGCTAAATTTGTTTTGGGACATATCAGGCAACAGCTAGAAATTTTTAAATGACCAACTTGCATTCCACCAAGGCACTGAATGAATTGATTAGGAAAAAGCTAAAAATTGAGCAGTATTTTTTGGAGTAGGCTAAGGTTAGTGCTGCCAAGGAAAAATATGTAACTACCAAGAGAACGGCCATCAATTGCAGCTGATTTTCAAACAGAACATTGACACAAAAACTGGTATTCAATGAGGAGTGATGACTTATTTTTCCCCCTCTAGATGCCCCTTTCTAGCCAGGCCAGTGATAAAATTGAGGCATCAGCCACAGACTCAAACTCATTGTAATAAAATTGTGATAGGGAATGGCGGAGTGCTCCACCAGCCAGGGGGTTCCTCCTCAGTTCCGACCACCTTTGATTGCGAGGCCGGCATGGCACACGTGCTGTGCACAGGGCTAACGTTCAGTGGACCGATCGTCGTGATGGATTGGTTTCTGACAGAGTGTGTGTGGCTGCCTGTGTGAAGAGGGCTCTCCGGAGAGACAAGCCTAGCTATTGTTTGGCTGCACTCATGTTAGCGGGTGCCCTGCGGTAACCCTCGTGCTCTGAAATACTCATATTGGTTATTTCAAAGTTGGGTGCAGAATTGTGCTTTCCCGTGCCTGTCACTAATGACTTGCAGCTGTTGCTAATCTGTGCCTCTGATTTCCTTTGATTACTATGTGTATTGATGCCTGTGGTAAATAGGCATCTGCCAGGTGCCAGCACAATCAGGGGAAAAATATAAAAAGTTCCCTGTTTCAAATTCAATGTGACATTGTGCAAGTTGAGAGGCAGCCATTTAACTATTCAGAGGAAACAGCTTCCTGGGGCACCTCCGGCCTCCTGGCCAGGGACATTCCTCCCATTCTCCCCTCCGCCCCCTCTCCCAATGATGTTTTCTTCAGGATTTTTTTTTTCTTCAGTCATGAGAAGAGGGTTTCCATACCATGTGACATCAGCAGAAAGAAGTATACAGCTGGGCAATTGTGACCAACCTAGAGAGAAAGTTTCTTACCTGTCTCAGTAGATTTAGGCTTTGGAAACTTTACCTGTCCCAAGCTTGCAAATGTCTTCCCACTGCACCAGCCATTTTATCTCTGGGGAACACAACTTAGTCACTGCATTAGGTGTATGACACACTGCTGTGACATAAAGGCAACTTAAGGAAGGAAGAGCTTGTTTAGGCTCACGGTTCCAGGGGGACACAGTCCATTATGGTATGGAAGGTGTGGTGGCAGGGAAGTGAGGCCATGGCATTGTGTTAACAGTCAAGAAGACAGAAATGAATGCTGGTGCTCAGCTCATGTTCCCTTTTTGACTCAGTCTGGGACCCCAGCAATAGACTGATACCACCTACATTTCCCTTGGGTCTTCCCACCTCACTGAACCTAATCTAGATAATCCCTTACAGGTTTTGTTCCACTTCTAAATCCCATCACGTTGATAGTCGAGGTTAACCATCATGCTCAGGAGGAGGCATCCTGTGCAGCATCACCTGCAGAAAAAATCAGGAGGGGAATCTTCAAGGAAACAAAGCAAGATGGAGACCTTCCAGAAAAGATGCAAAGAGAACAGCCAAAACCCGGCACCTGCAGGAGGAATGGAAAGACTCCTTACCAGAGGCGCATCTAGGGAAGCGATAGGAAGCAGAGTTTAACCATTTCCTACTCTTAGGCAGAAATCAGAGTTCCATGTAGGGAAAGAGCTTCTGGTGTCCCCAGATGAGGTTCTTCCATACGATCTCCTCTTCCTTCTTCACTGACACATCAGGAGTGAGGTCCCAGACAACAGCAAGTAATGGCTCCCCTCCTTCAATAGAGAGTTAGTCCATTGCATGAGCATCTGATTCTGCTACCGTTCCTCAAGGAGGCAATGCTGAATCCAAACTTCAACAAGCTCTCTTTTGTTTCTTGTTTTAAAGAGAAAGATCTTCAGATAGACATCAACTCATTATCTTATCACTGCTCATAAGCACATCAAGAGGCAGGTCAACTTTGGAATTAATTGTTGGGGTGAAGAACTAAGCATCCCCAAAGCACTGACTAATAGCTGGTAAACTAAAAATCTAGAAAATCAGTACAGTGCCTGTGGTCTCCATGTACGTGCACATTAAACAGACATTTGACTCTTACAGAACTCTGAAGTGAAAATAAGAATCTGCTTGATTTTTTATCAAGGGCTATCTAAAAACTCACACAGCTTCACATAGCTTCAGGGGGTTACAGTCACAGCTACAGAGTCCAGGAATTGTAGGTCAATTTGTATTAAATCATAAGAAAGTCTCAACTCTAGACATTTAGTGTCCATGGCTTAAAAAAAAATCATTCAGCAAGACCGCCCACCCCAACACCAAATGAGTCAGTTAAAACATAAATTTAAAGACGTCCATGTCTAAGTCAGAAGATAGGACAGTAAGATGTGAGTAAATGCTCCTCAGCCCCGTGGTCAAGAGATGGTTCCAACCTATTAGTCATCAGAGTCCTGTGGGATGTAGATGGGAAAGCTTGGAGTCAGGTAAAACATAAAATTAAGATTGGGATGATCCCACAAAACTGTGCATCAGTATCCTCAGAAAGAGAAACACAGGCTAAGTATTCCTCATCTGGAATGTTCAAGACTAGAAGTGTTTTGGATTTCAGATTTTTTTTTTTTTTTTTGCAGATTTTGGAATACTTACATATACGTGATATCATAGCTTCATTTATGAAAGAAAAACCCACTCCTGTTTCATCAACGCTCCGTGCATCTACCTGAAGATAGCTCCATCTGGTGTGTCTAGCGCACCTGTCTTTTGACAGTGACCTGTCCCACAAGGTCAAGTGTGAGGTTTTCTGCTTATGTTATCAAGGTTAGTGTTCAAAAAGTTTTGAATTCTAGAATACTTCAAAGTTTGGATTTTTCAAATTAAGGTTACTCGTTCCTGGTTACTCAGACAACCAATAGGTCGAAACTATTTCACTACATTACATTTTACTTAAATAGGAGAGTAAAACAAATTTCCCAGAACTCAACTAAAAACAAGGAACATCTGAGACAATTATGCTGACTTGTTGAGATGCAAAAAATCCTGCCGGTGGGACAGGCTGAAGATAGAGACATCAAAGAGACTTGACTCTACCTCCACTCCCAATCTCCACAGAGTACACAAAAACACTACTCTACTCACTGATAGTCAGAAAAGAGGTAGAGTGATACAGAAAATATATAGGAAAAAGAATAGCTACAGACTCAACCTATGGAACTGTCCCCTCCCACTCCACAAAGGAATGCTAGACCACCACCAGGGGCTGGGCATGTGCTGCACTCCTTTAAATCAATCACTCAAAAGGCAGAGGCAGAGGCAAATAGATCTCTGTGAGCTGAACCAGCCTGCTCTGCATATTGAGTTCCCAGCCAGACAGAGCTGTGTAGTAAAACCTTGTCTCAATTAAAAAAAAAAAAAAATTAAAAAGCAGAGAGATCTTATCCTGCCCTGTGACGTAGCTTCCCATAATAGCTAGTAATCCAGAGCCTACCTTTAAATTTCTGTCAGCACATCTGAACACAATGTATTCCAGAAGGACTCAGAGAGAGGAATGTCATCCTGGAACTCTGTGTCAAGGGTCTGCATCAGGCTAAGGCCATGAGGTTACACAGAATCCTGTCTTGGCAACAAGAGCAAGAGCAGCCAAAGGAAGTAACCAGCTGGGTTTTTGGTCCAGCAGCATCCCTGGCCCATCCTCAACCAGACTCTTGCCCGGTGTTGGGGAAATCCTAAAATGTGCCCTTGGCATCGCCAACCCTGGTTGTCCCTTCTATCACTGTGGGGTAGAATGTGCATGCATATCTACTGCTTAGTGTGCCCAGTGCATAGTTCCTTTGGGTCACTGCAATGTTAAATGCTAACACACACACACACACACACACACACACACACACACACACACACACACACGTTCCATACTGTACTTCCCAGAGTGGAGTTACTGTGATATTATCTATAAAATGAAATACTTAAAAATCAAGAACTTTGAAAATTGCCAAGTATTGTTATCACCTTTAAAAATTACTAGCCGGGCGGTGGTGGCACACGCCTTTAATCCCAGCACTCGGGAGGCAGAGCCAGGCGGATCTCTGTGAGTTCGAGGCCAGCCTGGGCTACCAAGTGAGTTCCAGGAAAGGCGCAAAGTTACACAGAGAAACCCTGTCTTGAAAAACCAAAAAAAAAAAATTACTAAAGCATGATGTATATGAATCTAGGGAGTCCTACAGCTCAATAAGACTCAACATATTTTAACATAGAATTTTCTAAATATATTTGATGCAAAATTCCTGTGTTAATACTCCAAAAAGTAGAGACTTGAAGATCACTTCATTATATTTAGTCATTTTTTTCTATAGAAAATAGAACATTTGATTATCTAAAAATTGTCAAATTTAGGATAAACTTCAATGACAGATTGTCATCTCCATAATTGGGTCCATAAACTGGTCATGATATTTAACTAATGAACTTTGGTAATAACCGAGATGAGATGAGACAAAAGTACAATTCTGTTGAAATACCATCTGATGGGATAATTTGGGATCTTTATGTCCTAATTGCCTATTTTATGTTTTGTGAAATATTTCATTTGTATTAATGAAAGTGAGCACCGCTGTGATTTTTACCCAAAGAATGCTAGCTCAGGAAATTTCCACAAGTGCTTCATAACGACATTCATATTCTCTGCTCCCAACACTCAAATCACTGTAAGTAGCTTCTCGGTGGGTTTAAAGCTGACTCTCCACATGGGCTGGAGACATGCCTCAGTGGATAACGGCACACATACTGTTCTTCCCGACGACACTTGTTTGGTTCCCAGCACTCATGTGAACAGTTCACACCCACCTGTAACTCTAGCTCCAAGGAATATGGTGCCCCCTTTGGGCATCCTCAGGCACCTGTACTCACATGAACATAGCCCAAATAATCTTTAAAATCAAATTCTTGGAAGATGACTTTCCACCTGAAATGTAAGCCATGGAGCCTGGGGGTCTCTGCTTCTTATAGTTAGTTAAACTCAGTAGAAGAGAGAAAAAACAGTGTGCTGTCCACACTGGAAGAGAAGAGAGAGGGCTAGCTCTCTTCACAGCTGGGGACTGAAGTGTCCGTCCTGAGTCCTGATCAATATGTTGATCACCAGTGAGGATATGTGAGGAAGGGAGAGAGAAGAGCCTAACAGGCCTGGGAAAAAGACAAATTTAGATTACTCACAGTTCCAGGCAATACCTTTGACTGCCAAATCATGCTGTAAAGATAGTGAAAGTCCAATGGAGACTTCTGACAGAAGTACCCGGAAGGAGCTACACCCTGGAGGCATGGATAAGAGGAACAGTTGAGAGCAGTTGCCCTCAGAGTGTGGTCCCCCACCCAGCAGCAGTGGCAGCACGTGGAACACCTTGGAAATGAACCTTCTCAACCCCACCTCAGACTTACTGAACCAGAACCTCTGGTAAGGGTGGGGGCAGTGCAGAAATGCTTGCTTTACCGTGCGCTCCCAGGAATGCTGGCACATGCTTCCCTGAAGACAAGGAAATCGATTGTCTGATCATTTAAATCAGCCTGGTGACTGATAACACACAGTTAATCCAGGTAAAATAATCATACTAAAGGATGGCACAACCTGAGGAGGGAAGCAGCTGATTTTATCAAAAGATCAATAATGTGAGGGGCAGGGATTTTCCATGCTTCTCAAATCCTGTCCCCAGGTTTTCCAGACAGCTGGCAAACCCTCCCTGTCTCTTGCCTTCCCTGCCCTGTTTGTAAAGATCTAATGGGAGCATAGCTAAACAACTCATCAGGACTAACTGGATACAAGGATGAGCAAGAAGAGAGGTCTGTTTTAAAAACCCAGGCCTTAAGCCTCAGAGCTGGGCAATTTAAAGAGGACTTTAGCAAAGAAACAAATAAGCAAGAGGTGATGTGGTTGGAAAACACAGTGGGGCCACCCACTAGCATTTACTTACATATGTACACCTCAGACTATAGATACATAGTGTTTACTTACATATATACACCTCAGACTATAGATACATAGTGTTTACTTACATATATACACCTCAGACTATAGATACATAGTGTTTACTTACATATATACACCTCAGACTATAGATACACAGTGTTTACTTACATATACCTCAGACTATAGATACACAGTGTTTACCTACATACACCTCAGACTATAGATACATACTATTTACTTACATTATACACCTCAGACTATAGATACATAGTGTTTACTTACATATATACACCTCAGACTATAGATACACAGTGTTTACTTACATATATACACCTCAGACTATAGATAGACAGTGTTTACTTACATATATACACCTCAGACTATAGATACATAGTGTTTACTTACATACACCTCAGACTATAGAAAACTAGAATTTGTAGAAATCTCTAATTTTACTTGTTAGCATAAAAGTAAAAGTATACTAAAAGTATAAGCATATAGTAAGGTAAAATAATGAGATATAATTTTATTTAGTTAGTTAGTTAGTTAGTTAGTTTGTTTTTCAAGACAGGGTTTCTCTGTGTAGCTTTGGTGCCTGTCCTGGATCTTGCTCTGTAAACAAGGCTGGCCTCGAACTCACAGAGATCCGCCTGCCTCTGTCTCATGAGTGCTGGGATTAAAGGCGTGCGCCACTACCGCCTGGCTTGAGTTACAATCTTTTTTAAAGAAAAGGAATGAGGGAGAGGGAGGAGAGGAGAAACTGAGAAAAGAAGTGGGGAGGGAGTGAAAATAACAAGGTTCAAAAAAATAAGACAAAGCCATGGG